GGGAATAATGAAATTAAATGTATTCAGCGTCAGCTCAGCAGGGAGTCCTAAAGCAGCCAGTGTGCTGATACGTCTTGTCTGAAAATCCTGTGACGCAGGAGAGCAGTTGGAGGGTTATAAGATAGGAGAGGGTGTGAGGTTTCATTTGGATTTATGATTCTTTCTCCACAGAGACACAGGAGTGGCTGGAAGAGTCTGAGTCAGAGGATGATGATGAAGAGGAGGAGGAGGAGTCGAAAGGAGCTGAAGGGGAGGAAGAGGAGGACGAGTCTGAAAAGGAAAGCGAGGATGAGGAAGGCAAGGGATTGTTCTGCCTCTTCACTGTCTACACTACACTTATCACCAACCTCCCAAACACATTTGAAACCTACAATATGAAATCTTGTATTATTACCTAATGTGGTGTTACATACCTCTGTGCCCACAGTTTGTAACCGTTATGTCTAAAATAGCTGGAATTCTCCTTTAACATAACATAAGAACTAACCCGAAACTCAGCCACTCCTGTTTACTTGAATCTATTACATATGCTTGTTGGACCTCTCAAAGGTGATGTTTGATTTGGCAGGAAACCAGCTAGATGCTGTTCTCACTAAATTTGACCGTGATTTAAAAAAAATGTAATGCGCAACGTTAACCTCTCTACCTGACTGCATTTTTCCAGATGAAGAAGAGCACCCCGCAGTGCAGGAGGGAGAGACAGTGACGGATTACCAGACCCGTACAGAGCAGTACTGGATAGGACTGGCACGTGCCAACATGGGCCCCGACGCCAAGGACAAAAAGGTTGCCAAGGTCGCCCTCGCCATGTCTAAAGTCTTCTATGAAGACCAGTAGTGGGATACGCCAGAGTGTCTGAGTGACTGTGAGTGTGCTGTTTGTGTGTGTGTAAAATATTTTTTGTAATTACCTTTTATAAAACATGTCATTTGAACTGTACTGAAAATAATTCAGAAATGCAAGTTGAACATCATTCAATTTTAAAACAGAAAACCAGTGTGGTCAGACGAAATAAAGCACCAATCAGCCTCTAAATGAACAGGTGAGCATTGAAATTAATTTGCATGTGGTTTTGTGCGGAGGATCAGTGATCTCACAGCAGGTGTTTTACTTACAGAGAGCTGTGTAGAAAACCACCAGAAGCACCAGAATTACATTACAATTAGATATTTCTTTTCCCAGCGGAGCAGAACAAGCTGTAAACCCAACAGTGTCATACTATTAGCAGGTACATTAGCATTCATTTGAACTCGTGTTTTGTCAACAATGGGCTGAAAGACACTAAAACATTCTGCAGAGCTTTGGGTTTGTTACTACAGGTGACACCTTCCACATACAGTCATTTGATGCATTGGTATTATGATAATATTGATAAGTTCGGCTTTATGGCCCAATAGTTCAACACATTATTATCTATTTCATCCAAAAATTGTTTCCTGCTGCATGAGGACATGGAAAATGCAAATGAACGATTATGTATCAGAGTAATGAAAGTAATTAACAAGTAAAAGCAAAAAATAAATTGATGGATAAACCACAATGTGCTTTTTCTTCAAATTTTATTTCTAAAATCTGATTTTCAACACGGATGAAAGAAATCCAATAGCCCTACTGTACCATGTGCTTATGGGTTTCTAGATGGGGTTTGTCCCCATCTGGTGAAGTCAGTCACACAGATGGAGGACAGTGGTAACGGCTAGAGCCCGACTCCGGCCAAGACACCAAATATCACTTTAAGCTCTCTATGATACATGCAAAAACACACACATGCTACTAATGGGTCTATTTATTTGAGGCCTCAAACACAGTTACCAGTGCGACAAACAATAATGCCCACAAATATTAATAGTTAATTAACAGTCAATGACAGTGAAGCATTAGCATATAGTATAAATATAGTAGGGCTGTAACGGTTCTGAGAGAACCGAAATCGCGACACAAAAAGTCGCACGGTTCGTGTCGCGGATCCAGAGAGACAAGAACCGACCACCCGCTCCCTGGAATGTTAGCTCTCGTTAACAGTGTAACTGTGGCCCGTGGGGTGGTACCGGTGTAGGCCTGTATCGTATTTGTATTGACAGTAGGTTCTTCTAGGTCATTTTCCACCTTATTTTAGTGTTTATTTACTATTTAATCCTGCTCCCTTTCTCTTCTCCCACACTCACACACAGCACACAACACACGCCTGGACCTCTGCTCACTCACGGCAAACACACCCGCTGGCTCAGCCTCTTTCTGTCTCTCTCTCCCTGTGTGTCTCTGCTGAGTCTCTCCATCAGCAGTACGTTTCACCATTTCACCGAACAGGCCAATTTAACCCATTCAACATGACTTTCTAAACGGGTTTATTAACTGAAAACGTTGACCAAGTTCCCCCTTTAATGTATATCAGTAACATCTCTCTCCTCTCTGTTGTCTCTGCAAATGGGGAAAACGGGGAAAACCGCCGTATATATGAACCGAACCGTGGCTCAAAAATCGAGGTCTGAACCGAACCGTGGATTTGGTGTATTTGGCCAATCAATGTCATCCTAGGCCGGGCAATAAAATAATAGTGATATACAGATGGGTGACAAATTAAAGGAAAAAGCAACGATGACGATGGTGGTGGAGGGAGCTGTTTAACACCTCAGTCTAAACTGTTCCATAAGTGTTTGATTGGGTTGAAATCCGGTGACTGCAAAGGGCATAGCGTATGATCTGCATAATTGTCATACTGATCAAACCATTCAGTGACTCCATTGTGCCCTATGACTGGGGGCATTGTCATCTTGGAAGAGACCACTCCCGTCAAGTGGACCAAAATCAATGCTTGAAATGCAAACTGAAGGAACATAACGAATCAAATACACTATCATAATATCTGTTGAGAGTTGAGCGTGCTATGAGTGAATCACCATACCCTTTGGAGTCTCCACAGGCAGTCCACAATGGTGAGGTACTCAGCAACAACACCATATGACAAAACATGAGCCTTACTACCTGTGTGCTTTGATAAACAAAGTGGTTAGATTTGGAATAAAGTAGTTAAATTCAACCTTTTTCCCATCTGGTTTTAATAAAAAGATCTCATTAAAAATCATCAATAATTGCTGATATCAACTGCAATGAAACATTGTATTATGAGTCCTACGTGATCCAGTCAGCATAAGTAAATAAAGATTTACCTTTTTTTGATGTTAAATACCTTTAGAGAAACTGATGATGTTTGTAGTGGTAATCAAATCAAAAGTCTTCAAAAATGCAGCTTTTCCTCAATCCTTGTGGCTTTGACACAAAATATATGAAACTAAATTAATAATAATAACAATAATAATAATAATTACACACCAAATAAAATAAATCTTTTAACATTTAATTTACTAAAATGTGCATCATACGTTACGTCCTGACCTGGCGCCTTTTCCCAAGCTAGGCTAGCTATGGATTCTAAATTAACAAGAAAAAAAAGTCTGGGAGGAAAATAGAGAATTTATTACCGATTAGTTTGCTTTGACAACCAACTGGCTTATAAAAATAACAATTATAAAGAAAACATCAAGGACACAAGAAAAAGATCCATAGCAATAAAAACAGACAAAATATACAAAAATACAACAACAAAACACAGTAAATACATAGCAATACACATGCAACTTCAT